TAGCCAGTTAGAAATGTTCAAAAAAGTCACCCATTAAATCAAGAGGAGCTTACTTTTTATGTAACTTGTATAGTAAATTTTGCACGCAGAAATTAAAAACATGCCTATTGAAGTTTTGCTACGTGAATTCAGTGAAGTGGTGGACCTGTGGCTTCATCATTATCATTGCTATCATTATCATTGTTGGGTAAGATCTTATTTGGTAAGCAAAACATTTACAATGGAATTTTTTTATGAATAATCAGTATTTCGAAATCTTTAGTTTCATAATAATGCTTTTTTTTAATTGTTTACGTAATTTATATGCTTGATTTTTTTTTTCTAAAATTTTTTAATAATTATTTCAAAAAAAAATTCCATTTTCTAATTTTAACTGATGTAAATTACTAAATGAATTGGTAAAAATCGATATTCTGTTTCGGGAACTGTTGTTTAATTCTTTTACTTAAAAATGATTCATAAAGAAATTCTAAGAAAACGAATAAAGTTTCAGAGTTAATATAAATATCTAAAATTGTTTCCATCCTTTACGAGATTATAGAGAAATGGCGCGTTGTTATGATGTAGCGTTTTTGGTATAATTTACAGCATTTTTATAATTTTGTTTATAATTTTAAAGTTATAAGTAACAGATATATTTCGGAATTCGCAATTATTTTGGAAAAGACTTATTTCATAGCTGCCAACTCTTCCGGTTTTGCCGGAAGATTTTATTTTCATATGTAAAGCGATAGCGAAACTCATATTATTTCATAAAACTTTTTTAATTATAATAATAATTATGAATGAGTTTGACCACCATTATGCATAAATAAATACAACAAATATATTAAAAAAGTCTTAAATTATGTTTAATTTCAACTTAACTATAAATGTGAATAATTTATATCACTCATATACAAAACATAACTATAAATATAAATAATTACTTTTTGGTAGTTGGTAATTGTTTATACAACCACTTGGAGAATCCATTCTTGGAAAAAGAGAATGTTGAAGCAGAGTGCGCAGCCAAATTATTCAACAAAAAATAAGCACCTTTTAAGCAATTTCAAGCACTCAAAAAATATTTCTAAGCACTTTAAAAAAATATCATTAATTAGGCATGGCTGGAAAGTTTTTGACAATTGATGGTTTTATCTTGTTTTAACCGTCATGTCGAAAAAAAATAAACCTCTTGGCATTGTTTTTGACAGTTGTCAAAAATCATGAAATTTTGAATCGGGTAAAACGAATGGCGCTTTTATACGTTACGTTACGGACGTTACGTTTACGGATTGTCTTTTATACGTTACGGACTGACAATACGCCGAAATAGATTGGGGCTGAATGAATTAATTGTGAAAACAATGAATTGTGAAGAACAATGTGTCGTTTTGCATGATTCGAAGTGAAAATCAACATACTAAAGGAAAAATCTCATTTAGAAAAAGGGAAAATTAAGCACTTTTAAAAAACATCCAATGAAAAAAGCACCTTTAAGCACTTTTTAAAAACGCTACGCACACTGTGACAGGTATACTTACGTTTGCTTTTAGTTATATCTAATAACAGTAAAATGTAAAAGAGATAGTTTGATTTAGGAAATGAATATGAATTCTATATTGTTTTGCATTCGATAACATCAATTGGCAGTCTAGATTTTAGCTTCCTTTCCGGAGTTATCAAAGTGAAACTTTTTATAGCAGTGTAAGAAAGATTGTTAACCTTTTCTAAAAGAGAAGTGAATGGGTGACGTTACTTCCCAGTAATGATAGATTCACACAATTCAGTTACAAGGTTTGCCTGCAAGACTCATATTTTATACATGCTTTATGGAAAAATTAATAACACATTTGATTATAAATTAAGTTTATGTTTTATGAAACATCTAAGCATTTAGTTTAAAACTATAGTTAATAGCGGATTTAAACTAATATTTTAATTATCATTACATAATATTTTTTATATATTGATAATAATTATATATTTATTGTAAATGTCTTTGAGGATGGTTTTTAAAACTGATGGTAAAATGAGATATGCAAGGAAACTGTTTCAAAATTTCCTCCTATTTGAAAATTTTATCGAATGATTATTTTTTTTATTTTTATGTATGGTTAGCTCACAACTAAATAATAATGATAAATTTCATTTATAAGCAAAATTAGTAAACGATTAATCAATTAAGAAAGCTGTAATTTACAAAACATATTACAAATGAAAACAAAATCTTTTTCAAAAGGCAGTATGCGTGCTTGCCAATTTTTACGATTTTTATGAAAGATATTTTCTTGTGATAGCCAATTTTATGGTTTAATATATTACTCTAGGTTTGAAAAATATGATTTAAAGTTATTTTAACCATTAAGATCATATAAAAGATATATAAGAACCATTAAAATTATGCCTTACATGTGAAAAAACCTGACGAAAGTTAAAAAAATTGCTAATAACTTTTATGCTTTTATTCTGCTTTTCAACTACCACTATAAAGAATGTTTAGCAAAAACAATAAAAATTGGCAACTGTGCATTTGGGATTCCCCCATTCAACTGTGCTTCGGCGATTCATATCGATTCACTCAGACGAATCAGTTATAGAGCTCCTAGCCGGGCTGATACTAATATCTAATTTATATAGGCTTAGGCTTTTGGGGTTATAAATTTTGCTACATTGTGCCTTGCCAACTTTCAATCTTTTCGAGGTTGATTTACGCAGGAGGTAATAAATTTACAATTGAATTAGAATCTTGTACTGAAAAATCTTTCTTTTCTTAATTGGTAAGATCTTAATCTCACCAGAGTGTATGGATATCCTACTTTTATTTATATACAAACCTGCCAACTTGTACGGTAGTTGAAAAGCATTCAACTAAGTGACAGTAAAACAACAATTAAGTTTGGAAAAATAATTTTGTTATTTTTCCAAATGTATATAATCTTAATAGTTTTGTTTTCAGAACAAAACTATTAAGATATCTTTTAAGAATAATTGGCAAACAAATAGATCTCATCTACATATTTTTTTTTCTTTCAAGTTTTTGATTCATTGTGGCAGTTTAAACATTCTTTTGAAAAAATATATTAAAATTATTTTTTGCAATGATAGTCAAAATCATTTGAAACTAAATTTATAAATCAAACATGAAACAAATAGAAAACATCAATTTTAGAATTTTAAGCGAAATGCTCTAGGGTTGACAGTTNTTTTAGCTTCCTTTCCGGAGTTATCAAAGTGAAACTTTTTATAGCAGTGTAAGAAAGATTGTTAACCTTTTCTAAAAGAGAAGTGAATAGGTGACGTCACTTCCCAGTAATGATAGATTCACACAATTCAATTACAAGGTTTGCCTGCAAGACTCTTATTTTGTACATGCTTTATGAAAAAATTAATAACACATTTGATTATAAATTATGCTTATGTTTTAGGAATTTATCCAATCATTTAGTTTAAAACTATAGTTAATAGCGGATTGAAACTAATATTTTAATTATCATTACATAATATTTTTTATATATTGATAATAATTATATATTTATTGTAAATGTCTTTGAGGATGGTTTTAAAAACCGTTGGTAAAATGAGATATTAACAATTGCAAGGAAACAGTTTCAAAATTTCATCCTATTTGAAAATTTCATGGAATGATTATTTGCTTTTTTTAATGTATGGTTAGCTCACAACTATATAATAATGATAAAATTCATTTATAAGCAAAATTAGTAAACGATGAATCAATTAAGAAAGCTCTAATTTCAAAAACATATTACAAATGAAAATAAAATCCTTTTCAAAAGGCAGTATGCATGCTTGCCAATTTTTACGATTTTTATGAAAGATATTTTCCTGTGATAGCCAATTTCATGCTTTAATATATTACTCTAGGTTTGAAAAATTTGATTTACAGTTATTTTAACCACAAAGAACTTATAAAACATATATAAGAACCATTAAAATTATGCCTTACATGTGAACCACCAAAAACTTATAAAACATATATAAGAACCATTAAAATTATGCCTTACATGTGAAAAAGCCTGACAAAAGTTTAAAAATTGCTATTAACTTTTATGCTTTTATTCTGCTTTTCAACTACCACTATGAAGAATTTTAGCAAAAACAGTAAAAATTGAGAGCTGTGCGTTTGGGATTCCCCCATTCAATTGAGCTTCGGCGACTCACATCGATTCACTCAGACGAATCAGTTAGAGCCCCTAGAGGGGCTGATACTAATATATCTAATTTATATAGGTTAAGGCTTTTGGGATTATAAATTTTGCTACATTGTGCCTGCCAACTTTTAATCTTTTCGAGTTTGATTTATGCAGGAGGTAATAAAATTACAATTGAATTAGAATCTTATGCTGAAAAATCTTTCTTTTCTTAATTAGTAAGATCTTAAGCGCACCAGTGTGTATGGATATCCTATTTTTATTTATATACAAACCTGCCAACTTGTACGGTAGTTGAAAAAGATTCTACTACTGGGTAGTAAAATAACAATTAAGTTTGGAAAAATAATTTTGTTATTTTTCCAAATATATATAGTCTTAATAGTTTTGTTCTAAGAACAAAACTATTAAGATATCTTTTAAGAATAATTAGCAAACAAATAGATCTCAGCTACATATTTTTTTTTCTTTCAAGTTTTCGATTCATTGTGGCAGATTAACATTCTTTTGAAAAATGTCTTAAAATTATTTTTTGCAATGATAGTCAAAATCATTTGAAATTAAATTTATAAATCCAAGAAGAAACAAATAGAAAACATCAATTTTAGTACCGCTTCAAGTATAAAATTAAAATTTTAAGCAAAATGCTCTAGGGTTGACAGTTATGATATATATATGTTTTCTCAAATGAATTCCTATCGTTTACCGTAGTAAACGAGCATATTTATAAGGTCTGTAAAATCAGATCTCTGAGCTTTGGTTTTGTGTAAGTTTCTGCTGTATTTTGAATGGTTCTTTTATGACTTTTAAAATTAGGATTGGAAGTCAGACAAAGTCTGTACTTACCTGGGGGTTACAGGCTATTCTAATGCGATCCAGGATTCCGGGAAACATGTCAGGCTCTGAGTTTGAATTTGAGTTATCCAGTTTGATTGATTTAATGAACTGGAAAAGAAAACATATAAACTTAGTAAACTCTATTTGTTTCGAATTAATACATTGGAATCCAGAGGAGAGAATTTCTGTTTCCAAAGTGGGAAAATCCTTTTCCCTCTAAACAATTAACACTGATAATTATCAATTATGCTTTCTCACTTAAAAACTTATCATACTTCAATTTAAAAAATATATATTTCTATATTCTGCTACACCTTCAATTCACTACCGTATGATAATTATTATACATTTATATCTATGCTCAATAATCTTCAAAACATGTAAAAATTTCTTGACTCAGTAACCAATTAAATATATTCCCTTAAATTAAATATATTCCCTTAAATATATTCCCCAATTAAATATTTTCCCCTTAAAGCAGAGTTGTCACGGGGGACTAAAAATGCAAAAAGTGGTTATTAATAAAATTCAAAACTTTATTAAAAAGAGATCAAAACTATCGGCTTTAATTTCAACCATGGCTGACAATCCATATACATCAAGACAGAAAGGATTAAAAAAAGGTAACAAAGAAATTTAATTTTTAGCTTGTTTTCGGGCAGGCCTGCCAACTACTACGCTTTTTATAAAATATTTAATAGAGAGGTAGACATTTAAAAACCAAAGCTTTTAGATTGTTTGGTAATTTTGTCAGAATTTTAAAAGCATCACCACGATAAATTTGAATAAATTAGCGTTTCATATGAACTTTTAAACCAATTATATGTAGTGGTAAAGAAAATAAGTTTAAATAAATAAAAAATATATTAAAACATTAACTTAACTACCATTGGAGTAAATTTTTACAAAAAGCGTTGCTTGATGGGTCGATGCCGTTTTGAGCGTTTAAAAAGTCCGCAAAATTATCCAAAATCTGCAAATTTAAGTTTGTAATTTTCTGTTGATTTTTATAATATTTTGACTTAGCTTCGCTGTAGTACTCTCGTAAAAAAGGAATTTCATGGTATAGGAGCGATAGTGAATTTAAAAGGCTAACTCTGTTAAAATTATAATCTAATATCTTAATTTCAAATGTGGAAAAATCGCTTCATATTTGTGACCTCAAACAGTGCTCAATTTCAAGATGAAAGGGATAGGGGACGCTTCGTGGCTCAGGTGCCTAGCTAAAATATAATACTCGGACTAGATTTGTTAGATTTAGCAACCACAACGGCTGCTTATCATAACGGATACTTGAAAACAATAAACATTTCATGATGAATGGGATAGAGGCTGCTTCGCAGCCCAGTTAAGACCACAAAACTAGGACTAGGTTAGATAGGCAAAAGTTTGAAGGGTTTAGAAACTGCAACAGAGAGGCGTATCACATAAGCTTTTGGATTATTTAGAAATAGTGAGTAAAAACTCTATAAATCGAATTTATCAAACCAAGAATCATACATTAAAAGTTTACCACTCGAAAATATTTATCCGCTGTCCGGTGCAAGTTGCATCTCTATATTGATCTGCGATATCCTGAAAGTGCTGCAGAAATTTAAATGCCATTGTCACCTTTTTTTTATTCAACTAGTTCTGTAAATAATTCCAAAAACTCGGTACATTGGATGGTTTGACGATGTAAAAACATTTTGTTCGCTTCAAAATATGCAAAAATAAAAAACTTTTTTGGAAACATTATGTTCGAGTTTCTAATTATCATGAAGGGAATAGGATTTCCGTTTTACCTTTTTTAGTTTGAGAAGAAAACTATCTGTATTTACCATTATGTATTAACAGTTACAAGGTAAAACATAGATTTTTTGAACATTGACTAGTATTTTGTTTTCAATAATTGTCTCTTCTTTTGTAATTTTCAGTAATTGTCTCTTCTACTGTATATCAAAAATTCAATGTATCATATAGGATGCAACTTTATTGTAATTATCTCGTGTTGACTCTTTTAAAGAATGGGCGTAATTATCTGTATTCCACAAGTTTTACTATTCAATTCGCTTTATTAAAAGTTTGGCAGACAGCGGAACAGGCAGGATCCAAGTAGAAATGATAGTCTGGCAAGTTTACTTCTCTTGAAATAATAATGTCTAAACCTTTACTACCAGCACTTTATATTTTCCGAAAGTGAGAGCCCTGAATTCGGTAAATTGGATAAAATATGCTAAATAATTAAAATATACTAGGTGCAAGACTTTAAGTATCTTTTACTGACGTGTTTTAAATCGACATAATTTTCCGTTACTTCGTTTCCCACTTGGTATGCTATTCAGAAACTCGTTATAAATGTTTTTATCAACTCGACAATAGTTTTATGCGCTGATAACGAGCTAAAATTAAACAATGCTGACCAGAAACTAGTTTCTTTTTTTTCTCATCACAATGATTCATTACTTTGTATTCACTTAAAGTTCCTTTGACTGTGGAATTAATCAATTATATTATTTGTGTTTGAAATCACGATTCAATTGGTATTCAGAAGCTAAGATGATGAGAATATGACCTACTACTGGTTCATTTCTTTAAAGGAAAAAAAAACGTTAGCATATTCAAACAGATGTTAGATATACTGGTATTATAAAACTAGTTTTTATTTATTTTATATTCGGTGAACTGCAACTTGGCATACATCAACCATAAATTATTACAAAGTATTTTTTAATTTTTATGTTTATTAAACTTTAATTAGTAACTCTATTTTACTATAATTGGACAATCTAGTGAAATCTTTTTTATAAATTTTTTATTTTTTTTTAGAAAAAAGATGCATAATGATTATGTACTGAATTACCATTTTGTACGGTCTTTGAAAAGTGTTTCTTTTTTCTGTTAGTAATAATTTTTTTGTTAATAATTATCTTTTTGTTAGTGTTTCCGTAATTTTGTCCAACCCCTGTATCATTGAAGAGTGCTGATCTATTAAGATATAATCAAAGTTAAATTTACTTATTTTAGCAACCATTTTAGTCATTAAAATTTTTCAATAATAAATAATATGTTATTGTCATGAGAAAGCGTCATAGTTTATGCAAAAATAGTATGCATAATGATACCACTTGATCTGTTTTATGGACACAAGCGGTCGGGAAAGATGTTGTCAAGTAATATCGCGTGATCGGCAACGGAAGAGTTAAAATATATATTTTCTCCCGATATATTACAATTTCTTACTGTTTCCAGATTAGGAATACTACTAGTCTTGTGATAAGTATAGTATGTAAGGTTGTAATTAACAACGATAATATCGTAATTATGATCAAAAACGATAATTTTTGATTTTTTTTTCTTCATCGGGTTAAGATGAAAATATTGTCCTACGTAATTTTGTTAAATTGAAAGAATATCTCGATATATCATAAAATATCGATATTTTCTGACGATATATCGAGGCATATAAATTCCAATATCACTTAGCACTATTTAAATGGTAATTTTTGGGTGTCTGATGACATAGAGCTACGTTGATAAATAAATAACAAGCAGATTCGCAGCACTAACTAACTGATCACCGGAAAAATTACTATACTTAAAATTGTTGTTTGATCTTTTGAATATCATGAAAATTCGATACAAAATTAGGTAAGAATAGTTGAAGAGCTATAATTTGTTAATAAAAAATACCTCCAAAAATAATTATTTAATCAAAACTACCTCCAAAAATAATTATTTAATCAAAAATACACCAAAATTAAATATTATAAAAACTATGAAACTCCAAATTTAAAAAAAAGTTTCGCAATAACAGAATTTTTCACAAAAATTTCACAAATAGATACAAAGAATACTGTTAATTTAGCATCAATAGTGTATTTAAATATGAAATATGAGTTCCTAAATTTTTAACTCCAATTAATGCACATAAACGCACCACTATAACAATAGAAAATATATATTTTTTTAAATATTCTATTTCTAAATATTACTATTATTTTGTTTAAAAAAATATATCAATTAAAAAAATTCCGAAGAAGATTAATTTTTATGGATGACTTACTTTTTTGAGAATAGATGATGAAGGAAGACTTGATTTCGAATTGAGTAACCAATTGATTGAGAAAGTTGAACGATTACATGGACATTACATAGAAGGGAGTAGGGAAGTTTAGTTGTGTTAGTTGATTCCAGAATCCGTTTAAAAAACTCAAGGACGACAAAAAATTTAAGTGACCGTGATCGCGCGTAGACTTCCCAATACCTGTTAACCTTCAATATTAGTTTATTGTAATTTTTTAATTAATACTACAATCTAAAATTCTCACTTGAGACGTGATTAAAATTTCATATATGAAATTCCGCTTTCACTTTTTTTTTATTTCCGCTTATACGAGAATTGCAAGTTATTAGCTAAATTTGCTGACTCTGTTATAACTCTAAATGATTGTGCTGAGGAAAAAAAATTTTTTTTTACATTTATGCAAATACCTAATGCGGCTATCAAATCAGAAATTAGTTTTTTCCTAAAGGTAGAAATTTTTTAATGACATTTTTAGTCTATTTTTTGTCTCTACGGGGTGCTTCCTTATCATGATCACCTGTTCAGATGTAAACGAAAAAAACAGTTCATAACAGATAAGCGCCCCTAGTGGCGTTTAATGACATTTTCTTTTATCTAGCCTAATGTGGCTTTCAAATCTGAAATTAGTTTTCTCCTGAAGATAGAAATATTTTTTTTTAAATGACATTTTTAGTCTATTTTTTTTCTCAACGGGTGCTTCCTATGATCACCTGTTCAGAAGGAAGAAACAATTCGTAATAGATAAGCTCCCCTAGTGGCGTTTGACGAAATTTCCAAGTATGGGCACCTATGTAATTTTAATCCTGATGATGTGCCTTAACTTTATTTGTTTGTCGAACAATAATGTTTGTCGCAACTGTTATAAGTAACGGTTTTAAACTTGAATATTTCAACAAAAAACTGCAGCTTATAGGGAAAAGCCAATTGCAGATTTAGATTGCAGAAAAGTATCTAACATCTGTTAAAAAATCGTACAATAGAAAGAAAAAAAATTGTTCCTTAGTGTTACAGATATTATCTTAATTAAAACTCTGTTCTGTTAAAAATATAAATTTGTTTACTACAGTTAAATGTACGTAAAAGGAAATTGCCTAAGTTAGGATGGGACGGATCATTGAGATGTAGAGTAAGTGTTTAAGTCTGAGTTCCATTTAGAGTTCTGAAGAAGGATTTGTAATTTGTGGCAGGCTGCTTGAACTTTGTCGATAATTGATTTGACATATTTCCTATTAAATTTACTGTTTGTGACCAGACCAAGATATTTTGCGCTTTTGACAATGGGAATAGAGAACAACTTGATTTTTTGGGAGGATGGTGCTTCTTTAATGTTGAATAATTAGTAGTTTCGATTTTTGTTCGTTAACTTAGAACTTCCAGTTTAGACACCAGGTTTCTATTTCATTCAGATTTTCTTGGAGTTTTTGAGGGGCAATGTTGGGGTTTTGGGGTTTCACGATGATTCCAGTGCCATCTGCGAAAAATGATGCAATACTAAAGTCTTGTCTGTCCGCAGGGAAGTCGTAGGTAAATAATATGAATAGTATGGGCGCAAAGATACTTCAGTGAGGCACTCCTGCTGATATTTTTCAATTTGTTGATTTCATGTTTTTAAAATTAACTTGAAAGATTCTATTATGTAAGTAGGCCTGTATAATTTTAATGATACCAGATGGGAATTTTAGTTGTATAAGCTTGAAGATGAGACTCTGATGTCAAATCCGGTAAAAAGTCTTTGCAATATATCTAACATCAGTAGTGCTGAGCTCAGTTTATTATGGAGGCCCCGGACAATGTAGACTATTCTGAGGAACTGTTTGGTCGTATCAAAATGCTTCCGAACACCATACTGCTCGACAGGTAATGAAGTAGGGTGAGGCATGATCCTTGTGTAGATAATTTTTCCGTACGTTTTCCTAAAGTGCACAATAGACTGATGGGTCTATAACTCTCAAATAAAGTAAGATCCTTGCTGGAATTAAGGAAAAGTGTGACATTCACATTCTTCCAGGTACAAGGGAAATAGTTTAAAGTCAAGCAAGCATTGTACAATTGAACGCATTGGACGATTAGTTGTATATACTGTTTTGATAGTAGCTTGATCCTATCTATCTAGCCTGTGCTTGATATTACCATATTATCACAACTAGGAGCTGTTTGTGTTTTTAGTTTTTTGATGTGATTTATATTTTTTTCTGCGGTGGTGAGTTCAATTACCTCTGGTGATAAATATGATATGTTGAATTCTGTTACATCTTCAATAACGAAGTTGTGGATTGAATATTCATTACCATGTATCAGACTTCCATGTATGCAATAAGTTTCTAAACCTTTTGTGGTGATCCAGAAAAATTAAATGATAAAAAAAAAGGATTTTATGAATATGGAATAAATTTTATACAGTGACAGGCCGGCCAACTACTACGCTTTTTGTAAAATATTTTACAGATTGTTTACAGAAAGCTTTCGGTAATTTAGCCAACATAGCCTCACTATGAGAGATTGGATGAGGAAGAGGATCGTTTGCTCTTCAGTTTTATCCTCTGTGCTATAAGAGAGAGATCTTCGTTCGCTCGTTCGTCGTTCGTCGTTCGTTCGTTGTAGTGGAACTGGGAGTCTGAGGCCTTACAGCCCTTTTCCCATTCATCCTGAAATTAGACTAAGGAACATACATGACAAAAATAAAGTTTGGGGAGCAAAATGGAGTTCGACGATGTGATATCTGGAACAAAGTGGTGTTTATAAACTTTTAAATCCTTTATATGTATTGGTGCGGAAAATAAGTTTAAATAAATAAAAAATCTTATATTAAGGGAAAAAAAACTTCGCTATCACTGCAATAAAGTTTTACAAAAGGAGTAGAAAGTTGGTAGACCTGCATTGATACGAAACAAGATACTCAGAAAAATCACCCGTGCCAGATGGTGTATCAGAAATACAAATATCCACAAATATCTCAAGATCTTATCAGAATATATTTACAAATTAGATGCAGATTTCTTTGACAAGGCCATAAAATGCAATACAGTAAACTTCAACCAGATATTCAATTTTGAAAAGTACAAACAAGTTATAAAACTAAGACCAATAGCTGCTCAATTCACATCCGACGCCTAGTATCACAATTATCAAAATAAATAATTAATCACAGATCCATCAATAGCATAAAATTCAACAACAATACTGAAAACTTGATCAAGCGTTTCCCCAAGTTGGCCATCAAACTATATTTAAAGCCACGCATAAATTAAAGCAAGCTGCTTCGCATAATTTCCGTTATTATTATTTACTCAAGCAAGGTCCTTGAATCCCGCTAGTATCCACCGCATAGACTGCTGACCTTAAAATTCCTGCCACAATTTTCAAAATAAACATGATGGATAGGATAGGGTCCGCCGAGCAGCCCAGGTGCCCTGCTCAACGTGATAAATTCCGTGATGGGTGATAAATATCGTTGCCGGTTTGAAATTTTTGGTGGTTCGTTGGGAGCCCTGAGTTAAAAACAAATTTATTCATCCCGAAAATTAGTTATAAATCATATGGTTTGACTACTACAAACTAAGGTAAACAACGTTGAAGAGCACAAAAATATTATAAATGCAGACAGCTGTTTCGGACGCTCAAAGGGCAACCTTCATCAGTGCAACAGAAAGAAATGAGAGAAAATAGGGTAAATATATAGAGAAAGGTGACGTCACAAGGGGGTTAGAGCAACGGCCAATAGGAGGGAAGGATGAAAGGTTTGACTACTAATTTATTCTTACTTTTGTCATACGTTCAGGTTTGAGTCAATGCTAAATATATTTAACACATTGCTGACCGGTCACGAGTTAACTCGTGTTTTCGTGGCCAAGCGTTGATGGCCGGTCACGAGTCACTGCAATCTCGTGGTGACTATTTTAAAAAGTTTAATTCTCTACCAATTTATTATAACTTTGCGAAACTTCATACATTTGTAAAACTTGAGGTGTACCAGTACACCAGAGATGCCAACTTGCTCCAGACAGCAAATATATATTTTAAAGTGGTAGTTCATCAATAGCGATTCTTGGTTTAATAAATTCAATTTAGTAAATTTTTATCCACCACTATTTCTTAATAATTCGTAGGCTTATATAATTCACCACCCATACTTTCCAACTGCTACGGAATTTCCGTAGTTTCAGAAATCTTCTTTTCAGACGGTAGCAAAATTAATGTCTTAATATTTAAAAAAAATTTATTTTAACGTAACTTGTCCACTATTACTTATAAAAGTGCAGGCCATATGGCTAGATTCTTAAGTTCTGATAAAAGTTTTTATGAGAGATCCATGTAGTACTTATGTCATGCTATACCTTTTAAAGAGCAAGCAAAAGTAGTCAAATATTTACAAAATTTACTTTGTAGTTGTTTACCGTTTTTTTAATTATATTGGCGTGTCCGGAGCAGTTGGCATCTCTGTTACACGTAGATGATTGTTATACTTTTTATCATACTATAAGGAAATATTAAGAGTTGAATAATAAATAAAAAATTTTAAAGTTTATTGAAGTTATACTTCATATGCGACTTCCAACAAGGTTACGTTTAACGCTACATTTTTATTGGCCGGGAAATCACGTGGTAGGATCCAGTTTTCCCTCATTCATTTCCATTTTGTTTTGGTTCTCACTAGCATAAAAATAATAAAAGTCATAAAAGTAATATTTTTCTATAAATATTTTTGAAGTTATACTTCTTATGCGACTTCCAACAAGGTTGCGTTAAACGTTTAACGCTACATTTTTATTGGCCGGGAAATCACGTGGTAGGATCCAGTTTTCCCTCATTCATTTCCATATTG